ACATCATTCTACACATCATAAAAAAGCCCCACCCCCTCCCTTTTTCTAACCCATTTAACCCCCCACCACCCTCTCTCCTCTATTTCAAGCGTAGGCCTCTGCGCATCAAACGAACTGTCTGTGCCATTATTTTCGTTTGTCTGTGAGCTCTTCCTTCTCTACACTAGTGGTCTCCTCCGTCATCGGTGGTGATCGAGTGTGTATGGCGGCGACGACGAACGCCATGGAAGCTAACAGACACGACGGCGACGACGAAGCGGGCCTGGGGTGGACATGGGAGGATATATTCGGCCCGAGTCCCGCTAACACGCCTGAGGTGCTGGAAGAGCGTGCAGTATCGCTGGAGGGAGGGATGCAAGATGATGAAGACACGACGGAGAATATACGACGGAGGGAAGGAGTTGAAGACACTCTGGCTGCCATGCAACGCGATGAAGGGGCACCGGATGGTAACACTGTGAAGGCTGAGCAAGGTAGGTGATTATGTAGTGTCCTTTCTTCATGGTTCACAAAGCACAGACAAATAATATTGTTTGTTTTTGTATGTAGACAATTACAAATGTATTATTGAATTTGGGAACATTATGAAGTTCATAGTCTTCTTTTAGAATGTGAGTATAATACGTAGAGCGTTTTTAGAATGTCATTATAATACTATTTCGTTTGTCTGTATTTCATTTTATAACGTCTCTATTTAATATTATTTTATTCATACGTTCTTGTAATTTGTTTGATCATTATTTGAACTGGTCTGTATTTCATTTGATACTGTCTGCATTGTATAATATTTTATTCATTTGTTCTTGTAATTTGTTTGATCATTATTTGAACTTGTCTGTATTTCATTTCATACTGTCTGCATTCTATAATATTTTATTCATATGTTCTTGTAATTTGTTTGATCATTATTTAAACTTGTCTGTATTTCATTTCATACTGTCTGCATTGTATAATATTTTATTCATATGTTCTTGTAATTTCTTTGATCATTATTTGAACTTGTCTGTATTTCATTTCATACTGTCTGCATTGTATAATATTTTATTCATATGTTCTTGTAATTTCTTTGATCATTATTTGAACTTGTCTGTATTTCATTTCATACTGTCTGCATTGTATAATATTTTATTCATATGTTCTTGTAATATGGTTGATCATTATTTGAACTTGTCTGTATTTCATTTCATACTGTCTGCATTCTATAATATTTTATTCATATGTTCTTGTAATTTCTTTGATCATTATTTGAACTTGTCTGTATTTCATTTCATACTGTCTGCATGCTATAATATTTTATTCATATGTTCTTGTAATTTCTTTGATCATTATTTGAACTTGTCTGTATTTCATTTCATACTGTCTGCATTCTATAATATTTCATTCATATGTTCTTGTAATTTCTTTGATCATTATTTGAACTTGTCCAGTATTTCATTTCATACTGTCTGCATTCTATCATATTTTATTCATATGTTGTAATTTCTTTGATCATTATTTGAACTTGTCTGTATTTCATTTGATACTGTCTGCATTCTATAATCTTTTATTCATTTGTCTGTATAGTATTGATGAATAATGTCTGTATTTATATAAATTAGTCTATGTATACATATTCATTAGTCTGTGTATGAATTCAGAGATGCATATGCACAGGAAGAAGAGCAAGAAGATGTTAGTGTGGTTGTTCCGAAAGTGGGCATGAAGTTTGCAAGCACAGACGCGGTGTATGAGTTTTACAAAAAATATGGTAGGAGTGTAGGATTCCCGGTTAGAAAAAGAACATCTACTAAGGATAGATCCAAGGGTGCTGTAGTGTCAATAGTGATAGAGTGTTCACGGGCGGGAAGTAGAGGTAGCAAGACACTAAACTGTTTGAAACCTCAAGCTTCAATGCAAACATCTTGTACCGCAAGAATTAGAGCACGCACTACTTATGTTGGGTCATGGGAAATTTCACAAGTGTTTTTAGAACATAATCACCCCATGAGTCCCACAAAATCTAGATTATTTCGTTGCTATAGGAAGTTGACATCAAAAGCGATGAGACATCTTGCGATAAATGAAGTTGCGGGAATTCCACTTAACAAGAGCTTTAACTCCGTTGTTGTTGAAGCGGGGGGGGGGGGGGGGGGGGGGGTATGATGCCCTACCTTTTATAGAAAAGGATTGTAGGAATTATATTGGAAAAATTAGGGAACTTAGGCTAGGAAGTGGTGATGCCATGGCTATACAAGCTTTTTTTTCAAAAATGCAAGCACAATGTCCCGGTTTCTTCTTTAGTGTTGATTTAGATGATGACTCACGCTTGAGAAATGTGTTTTGGGCGGATAATAGAAGTAGATATGCTTACAAAAGTTTTGGAGATGTCATCACGTTTGACACAACCTATCTAACGAATCGATACGACATGCCATTTGCACCATTTGTGGGTGTGAATCATCATGGTGAAACTATATTATTTGGATGTGGCTTAATCTCAAATGAAGATACACAAACTTTTGTTTGGCTCTTTAAAGCTTGGCTTGATTGCATGGAGGGTTGTGCTCCAAATGCAATTATAACCGATCAAGACCGGGCTATGCAAAATGCAATTCGAATTGTATTCCCGGAAACGAGGCACCGTTGGTACTTGTGGCATATCATGAAGAAGTTACCCGAAAAAGTGGGCGGGTTTGCGGACAAAGATCAAATCATGTTCAACATTCACGACCTAGTTTATGATTCACAGCACCATACAGAGTTTGAGGCAGGCTGGGAAGCTATGCTCCAAAGGTATGATCTTCACTATGTCGATTTCTTACTAATTTATGTTATTGGCATGTCGTATTTTTTTATATTGTCTGTATATCAAGTATATTGTCTGTACAATATTATAATGTTTACCCCTTACGGACATTTATTATTGTGTATGTGTCACTATTGTCTGTGTTTTCTTTTCACCATGTGAAGAGTTTCATTGTAATTTATGTTATTGGCAGAATATATTGTCTGTATATGTAGTATATCGTCTGTCGAATATTGTAATTTTTACACCGCACAGTCATGTGTATTCTGTATGTCTCACTATTGTCTTTGTTTTAAGGTTTTCTCTTGACCATGTCGAATGGCTGGTTGTGATGTACAACGAACGTCATCGTTGGGTCCCGTGTTACTTGAAACAGTATTTTTGGGCAGGTATGTCAACCACTCAATGAAGTGAAAGCCTGAACGCCTTCTTTGGTGAGTATGTTCATTCTAAAACTAGTCTGAAGGAGTTTGTGGATCAATATGGGCGCGCTATGAGAAAGAAGGTTGAAAACGAATTTCAAGCCGATGGCCTTTCTTTGACTAAAATGATTCCATGTGTTACGTCGTTTGCAATTGAAAAACAAGTGCAACGTGTTTACACCATAGCCAAGTTCAAAGAGTTTCAAACCCAATTAGTTGATCAATTGTATTGTTATGTCATACCTATGATGGATGGTAAGACATATGAAATCAAAGAGAATCGTGTCATCAATGGGTTTGATAAGAGTTGGACCTTCATTGTTGAGTATGATGTTTCTACATCTAAAGGAATGTGTAGTTGCCACTTGTTCGAGTTTCGAGGCATTTTGTGTAGACATTTTCTTATGGTGGCACTAAGATATCAAGTCAAAGTGTTGCCTGATTGTTACATACTACCAAGGTGGCGGCGAGACATCAAAAGAGCTTACACTCGAGTGAAGATCAACTACGACGGGTGGATAACTACGGTGGAACAAGAAAGGTTTGATAGATTGTGTACAACATTTGAGACCCTTGCAAACACCATTGCCGATGATCCGGAAAAATGCAAGAGCGTTATGATGTGGCTTGAACGGCAATTGGAACTACATAAACCCGCTCCTCCTAGTCATTCGTCTATATGTGGTGTGTTGACACCGTTACCGGTACCGGATAGTGCTGTGCATGCGGAAGTACCACAACAAATTAAGAATCCAAAGTCAGCAAAACGGAAAGGCGCACCCAAGAAAAATCGTTTGAAGGGGCCTCTGGAAAAGGGAAAATCCAAGTCAAAGGTATGCTGCCCTGCACTTTAAATGTTATTATACATACATTATTTATGCTTGCACAGACATTGTACAGATACGCACAGACATTAATATTGTACATGTGATTCATTGTTTTCCCAGCCAAGTGCTAAAAAACAAAGAACCACAAAGGACATTGCCGAACAGGAGGACGCTGGGGAGGGGTTCGTGGGACAGCCGTACACTAGAGAGGGGTTCGCGGGACAACCGTACACTAGAGAGGGGTTCGCGGGACAGCCGTACACTGGAGAGGGCTACGTTAGAGAGGGGTACCATGGTCAATATGATTATGTTGCAGTCAACAATAAGATGACACTACAATATCAAGACGGTTTAGATTTAAATCTCTCTCTGTTTTGAGACATATACTTATTTTAAATACATTTGAATGTTATGTATTTTTTATCGGTGAAGTCAACATTATATTTTTTTTCCCTATTTGTTGCAAACGTCTTACATAGACAATATATCCACAAAAACAGACATAGTATACTATGTGTAAACACACAAATCCATTATACAGACAATATTAATTATTCAGCATAGAGAAATCCATAATTTCAAAATGCGCTCAGGAGAAATAGGAAAAAATATTAATTCTCATCATAGACAATATTAGGAGAATGGATTTTATGGAAAGTGCCACAAAAATGCAGTCTTAAATATACCATTCATTGCTTTGCCAAAAATACAACTGTCACACAATTGTTGTATACAGACAGTACAAAAATATACAGACTAATCTTAGTAATCTATAGCTTCGCCACAGACACAAATATAATTAGAAGCACATTGTAGCAATGTTGTACATGGCACCACCATTGTTGTACAAAATACTACATGTAAGCACGTGTGTATGTCAAAAAAAAGGTATGCACCAATGTAATTGTACTAATTACATATACAAAAAAACTACACCCTTGACGGAATTCTTCATTGTACATCATTCTTCAACATCCAAAGTCGATTGGCGAATTCACACCTCTTCGTCGCCATGTTCTCGTACTCGCAACCGGGTATGAACGGGAGCTCCAACATGAGGTGCTCCGCAAAACTGAGCACCATCATTCCACATTCGCCCCTGCCGAAAAGACATCATTATTTGTTACACATCTCTGGAATATGATATACACACTACACAGACATCTCAGGAAAATGATATACACACTACACAGACATCTCTGGAATATGATATACACACTACATAGACATCTCTGGAATATGATATACACACTACACAGACATCTCAGGAATATGATATACACACTACACAGACATTGGTGTAAGAAATGTCTGTACGGATTAATATACACTTACCCTCCCCGCTGTTGGGGGACACCATCAACAGCAACAACTTCCCAAGGAAAAAGGTCACTTGCAACGTCATCTTCCGTTCTCCACGTAATAACACGTAGGAGGTGGGGGAGGCGTTCCCACAAGTCTTTTATGGATGCAACTGTCCTTCCATTTCTCATGGAGTCATATACTCTCACCATTTTTGCAGGAAGGTCTATTTGAACCAACACCCAATGCGAATTCCCCACATTTAGGGGTGTCAAAACCTAATGCATTAAACACAATGTTTATTAATGTTTGTATGCAGACATTTAGTACCTCAAGACGTCTGTAAATATACACGCACCGTATCGAATGAAGACCAATTCGTTTTGACGAGAAGGCGATCTCCCTCCCACTGCGCGTTGTTGTCTATTTTTTTGTTCAAGACTTGTTGCTACAAACAATGGCAAGGGATAATAAAAATTTGGGAATTAAGAACAAATGCATAAAACTTCACACGTATACCATAAAATAAGGCCCTAATAATGTAGTTCTCGCCCGTCTCCTGTCCTTGTTGATCAAGTATATGATACCATCCATGTGCTACAAAATGTGATTAAAAAAAATAAGAAACCATTTATAAGTTTGTTAACAATTACGTGGATAACTAGGTTGTAGATATACACTTACATAACCCGCCAACCATTTCTCGGGCAAAAGGAGGTCACGAAAAAATGTGCGGTCGACATCCGGTAAACCGGGTACATGAACGTTTACAAGTGTAGGGGCAATATTATCGGCTTGATCCGTCCAATATTTCAATGGAGTAGACTGGGTGAAGTTCACTTCTTTAGGACGCTTCTTCAAGGGGTTTGTGAATGGGCTACATTGATACTTAGAGGGAAATTTTAATCTCTTTCCAATATCAAATGGGTTTAAACTGTCATTATATGAATCAACAACTGCTGCCGGCTCCTCAACTACATCATCCTCCCAGTGAAGATTCAGAAATGCTAGTTCACTAAATGCTTCAACGGGCATCTACACATGCACACAAGGCTCAAGTGAAATTTAAAGAAATTAATAAAGTTAGAATGTAATGTCTGCACGCAGACATTAAATTGGAAACACAGACAATACCATGTAAATAATAGTATAAACTGAAGTAAAAAAACTAAAGAAAGTGCACCTCTTTCGGTGTGGTCAAGAGTAATTCTCCTGGGGTGTGACATTCTTCAAACAAACCCACTTCTTCGTTCATCAACATCAACTTTAAATTTGAAATAAAGAATGTAAAATAAATCACAAATTGTGTTATTTCTAACACAATACGCTAGATGTAGTTTGTCACATAACTTACATCATTCATGACATCTATGATGTCAATGTCTTGACTTTCACAAATCTGTTCGCAATAATCAGCCAACATAAATAAAATACGAAAAAGTGTTTAAAATCAAAGTCAAAATTGTTTGAAGTTAGATTGAAATATCTCCCGCACCCGCACCACTACAATGGTACATCCTAGAACATTACATGTTGTCTAATGGTTAGAAATTTACATCGGTAAATAGACCATGTTCACCGACCACCATGTTTGTGTCCGCATGTCCGTCCAAATGTGTGTCCTCCTCGCCTTGAGCAGGTACCTCATCTCTAAGCTCCTCATGTGCAGCCTTAAAAATTCCAACATCCTACAAATTGAGACAAAAACAGACAGATTCAGACAGAATGATACAAATACAGACAGATTCAGTGAAAAAAAAGACATTTAAGGTAAAAGTACAAACATTGACCTCTTGACCAGCATCACCAAGTTCTACAACAAGAGGCATGGCATTCGCTTCATTCTCAACAGCCTTCAAAATGATACAGACAGATTTAGATAATATGATACAAATACAGACAGGTTTACCTTAAAAAAGACATTTAAGGTAAAAGTACAAAGATTGACCTCTTCACCAGCATGACCAATTTCTACAACAAGAGGCTCGACATTCGCTTCATTGTCAACAACCTACAAAATGATACAGACAGATTCAGACAATATGATACAAATACAGACAGATTCAGTTATAAAAAGACATTTAAGGTAAAAGTACAGAGATTGACCTCTTCACCAGCATGACCAAGTTCTACAACAACAGGCTCGACATTTGCTTCATTCTCAACAGCCTACAAAATGATACAGTCATATTCAGACAGCATGATACAAATGCAGACGGATTCAGTAAAAAAAGACATTTAAGGTAAAAGTACAGAGATTGACCTCTTTACCAGCATGACCAAGTCCTACAACAACAGGCTCCCCATTTGCTTCATTCTCAACAGCCTTCAAAATGATACAGTCATATTCAGACAATATGATACAAATGCAGACAGATACAGTAAAAGACAGACATTTAAGGTAAAAGTACAGACATTGACCTCTTCACCAGCATCAACAATTTCTACAACAAAAGGCACGACATTCGCGTAATTCTCAACAGCCTACAAATGAGACAAATACAGGCGTATTCAGACAATATGTAACAAATACAAACCGATTCAATGAAGAACACACATTTATGGTAGAAGTACAGACATTTAGCTCGACACCAGCTTCAGAAATGACAGACTTCTCAGGCGCGACATTCGCATCATTTTCAACACCCTACAAAATGAGACAAATACAGATAGATTCAGACAATATGATAGAAATACAGACATATTCATTGAACAACAGACATTTAAGGTAAAAGTACAGACATTGACCTCTACATCATCATCACCAATTTCTACATGCTCAATCTCATCTGTATTATCAGGCTCATCGGATTCCTCAGCATCAGCCTCATCGGATTCTTCAACCTCATCAGAGTCCTCAGGTTCCTAAAATAGGATTGAAAAAAGACCGCATTAACATTTCGAAATGCATACAAAAAATCCATACAGAGGACCGTAAATACAATAACAGACAATTTAATAACAGTGCAGACATTGACCTCATCAGATTCGACATAGCTTTCATCAGAATCGTCTTCTTCATCTTCACTCTCTTCCAAGTCTTTAATTTCAGCAACATTTTTTTCAGTTGCTTTGAGCCTCCTTTCAAGTTCTTCAATACGTGCACGCAATAAAGTCAGTTCATTATTTTGAACATCGTTATGGCTTTCCTCAACATCTCCCTCATTCTCCTCCTCCTACAACATAGACATTGAGATAAATAAATAAATAAATAATTAAATAAATAAATAGAAAAATGTTTGTGTCCCGTTTAATTACAATAACACAATAAGCGAAGCAATTACCTCAACAATGTCTTTAAAGACAATTTTTTGTAGACTGTGGGCATGGTAAAACCCATTTGCAGTCCACTTGAGCATAGGAATGTGTTTTGTAGGAACAACATGTGTGGCAAACTTTTGGGCAAGGACTGGAAGTTCCTCATATGCCCAAACCTACATGGGTTGATGAGTGTCACACAGACAAATGATTAATGTATACAGACAAATTATTAATTTATACAGACAGTGAATGTAAAAAGTAAATTTCATATAGACGGTTTACCTGTAAAGCAAACTGGAACCCGTACAAGCAGAACTTTGCGTTGCGATATCTCGGTTTTGCTTTTTTGCTCGCTTGAAACTTTTGTGGTTGGCCTTTCATGGTCTTCTTTAAACTCTTCACCGTCTCTTTGTACGACTCGAAGGACCATGGGCAAGACTTAAACAGCTCGAAGTCATCCATTAAACGTAAGTAATCGGGATGTATCAGTGTTGTGTAGTCTCGAGCAAGGAGGCAGCAATGAACCAAAAACAGAGAACCTAACTTCACGCGATCCATAACATCTTCGTTCTCATCCCTCGGAGTAGTGCTCAGTTCTTCAAGTTTCTCCTTCAACTTGATATAGGAAACATGATTGCAGTCCCCAAAATATTTATCTACCACCCCCAACCGTTCTTCATGAAGATCATACGTAGGCCACTCCATCGGATCATGTATGCCACTAATCCTCTTGAAGTCCTGGTATGTGAACTTGAGCAACTTGCCATCGACTGCAAACCATAACTCATCTTCCGGCTGGTCACGCACAAGGCGTAACAGCAACAAATGAATGAGTTGCGCAGAAAATTGCATAGGTGGAGCATCGGGCAAATGGCCCCATGGAGTTTTAATAAGCATACTCATTTGTTTCAGCGTCAAGCATTCGCTCAATAGTTCCAGTGCTTCAGGAAATGCGGACCTTACAGAATACTGAGCAGGGAAGTAATCTTTAAGAGGAATTTTCAATTCCATCCTGAAAATAATAACACAGACATTTGTTAAACACTTGGACATCTTATGTACACACAAAAATGATGGACACAGACATCTTACTACCACACAAAAATAATAACACAGACATTTGTTAAAGACTTAGACATCTTATATTTCAGCTCAGGAAAACAAAGGAAAACATTAATGACACAATTCAAACATCTTACTACCACACAGACACACTACACAGACAAGCCTACACAGACAGCTTTAAAGTAAAAGAACACACTAGACAGACAACTCAACAATGGTATACAGGCTACTCTAAATTCGTGTACAGACAAGTGCATAGGACATACACTACACAGACATCTCACAAATGACAACAACATTTAAGAACACACTAGACAGACAACTCTAGAGAACCATAAAGACAACTGTCATATGCGCAGGCGTGTAAGACCACACTACACAGACATCTCACAAATGACAACATTTAAGACCACACTACACAGACATCTCACAAATGACAACATTTAAGAACACACTACACAGACAAGTCTAGAAAACCATAAAGACAACTGTCATCTGCGCAAGCGTGTAAGACCACACTACACAGACATCTTACAAATGACAACAACATTTAAGAACACACTACACAGACATCTGAAAAACCGCAAACATATGAACACACTGAACAGGTAACATCTGAAAAAATGGAATAAAGAGCTAACTCCAAACACTGTCAAAATCAAAACATGAGAAAATACGGTTTTACTCCAAACAAAAAACACAATATACACTACAAAATGGTACAAATCAAGCACATAATACCAAGAACAACAAATAAACTTCAAAATAATTCATGCATGTCAATAGTCCACCGAAAAACAGCCAAGAACAAACATAAACTCAAAAATACAAGTGCTGGCCCCCAAAAAAAAATTAGGGAAAAATTAAGTGAGAAATTAACTCAAAACAAGGTTAGAAAAAAATACCTTTGAGCCATTTCTGTAAGGGAACTGCGAACCATTTCCTCAAGTGGACCGTCTCACTTTCGCAGATGCTCGGAGACACCGGAGCGAGGGTGGAAGTAGCGACGGACTTCGGTAGGGTAGAGAGGGGGAGCGCCGTGCTTCTGTCGATGGAGGGAGAGGAGTGGGTTGAAGCCGTTTCTCGGAGACGCCGGAGCGAGGGAGAGGAGGGAGAGGAGTGGGATGCGGGAAAGAGAAGAGGGAGAGTGGGATGCGGGAAAGAGAAGAAAGGGGGTGGGAGGCGCACGTGACAGGATTCAAATTAGGGGTGGGGAGTTAAATGGGTTAGAAAAGGGAGGGGGTGGGGCTTTTTTATGATGTGTAGAATGATGTGTAGAATGCTGTGTACATATAGCATTTCTCTTAAAATTTTCCCCTCTAGACTTGATCTAGTGCGTTTTTTAACTGTATTAGGAATACTAAATTTACTCATATTTTAACAGAAACAGAACACACCACGGAGTTTACAAATATAGACGAATTGACGTATGGATCCACAGATCAGAAAGAAAAACAAAAAAGGCCGGCTCGGAGAAGTGATCTGAATTCACCCCGTTCCGACAAAACCCCTACAATTCATCACTGCTAACCCAATTTTTTCAACGCCGATTGATCTATAACACATATTTACTCCCACAATATATTTCATTCTCTCTACTCTGCAATTTTCATCCCACGGAAAAAAACCAGGCCTTTGATTGTTTTTTGTTTTTCTTGTCTTGAGTCCGAACTGATTTACTAGAATATACTCCGTATATTTCTCGCCAAGTGCTTGTTAATGCACGCCGCTATACTTTGCTGGTGTCTCTTTACCCTGGTGAATGATTGCGCCATTTGATTCAATTTGTCGCCGGATCAGAACAGTTGAATAAGGTTTGATTTCAGATTTTGAGATTGCTTTGCGAAGTGGGGCTCGATTTATTTTCTTAGCAAGCGGATTCGGAGTTTTTCATTGGAATTGATGTGTTGGTGAGGAAAAGGGGATGAGGGATGAGAGGTGAGGCGGGAGGAGGAGAACAATGACTGCTGGCGGGTCATCTGGTCTTCGTTCTTCTGGTAGTTATGGTTCTTTGCAGATACATCAATTCCAGAACGGTTCATTCTCAATCCAAACCTCACCACTTATACCACCCCCAAGAAAACCACCTAAGATGTTCAAGGAGAAGGAAGGTTTATTTCATTGGATCTTCAAATTTGCGCCTCGTAGGAAGATTGGAATGCTCCTCTTGTGCGCTGTTTCTGCTGCTGTTTTTGTTTTGGTCTTGTTTGTTGGCAAAGGTTCGGTTCCTTGTTTTTATTTATTTATTTACTTCCATTCTGGTTGGTTGCACGGTTTTTTATAGCTTCTCAATTTCATTTAGCAGTTAATGGGTTTGTTTGCATTACCGTGGGGTTTCTTATCTTTTGAATTGAGTTCATATATCTTTAGCTGGATAGTGCATATGTATCTAGCTTCTGTTCCTTTGGTGATACAATATGCAAGACTAATTGTGTTTTGGCTCTACCCGGAAATTGTTATACGGAGTATTATTTAGTCTATGCTTGTTACAATTTCTAGCTGAAACGGATTTTACCAAATGCTTTTATTTTTATAATATTCAAGAATCAGGAGATTCAATAATATTGACCAAACAACCCTCACCAAATGGAACCTCATCTATAGTTCTCAACACTTTGGACCTAATACACATTCTACTGGTGTCGGACTTGTGAGTTTATTGAGTGTTAAATTAAATGAAAGTTACTGACAGTGCTATCATGGTCCAGGAAAGAGATAGGCGGGTATTATATATCTAGTGGAAACACCATTATAAGAAGAGTGTCTTAGTGTCTAGAATTCAGGCATAGGTGGTTTCTATCCAATGTTCTAAAATGTATTGAGAGTGGCTTTTACATGTTATACATGATCACTTATACCCCAGAAACTTATTTCTCAGATTGCTAATTGCTTGCTGAGTAATTGAAATAAACCGCTTGCCACCTCTCTTTAGAGGAATTTTATCCAAAAATGAAAGTTGACCATTAGAACTGGATTTTCTTTTGGGACAAAAAGTTGAAGAAACTTGACTTCTTTTAGGAAGTGTTCTATTTTCTTATATATGGAAATGATACATCATACATTGATACTTGCACTTCCTATGGTGCATGTGAAGATTCTGTATAAATTTTCCGACATTAAAACCCTTACATGTTCCTTGCCCTAAGTTTTACATGACATCTTTGTCTCCTGTAAAAAGTTCTTATTCATCTAACATTCTGTGCTTTTTTAAAATTGTTTGTAGGTGAAGATTCTCCTCCAGGGCTTGAAATGCGCAGTATCAACATTAACAGTACACTAAAAAGCAGAAACTTTTTTACAGAACGTGAAGAACACATTATTCACCAAATTGTGTCAACTGAACATAGAAAAAATGGAAGAACTACGTCCACTAATCACCCCCCTCCTCCTCCTGTGTATTTTATGGGATATACCCTCCCCCCCGGGAATCCTTGTGAAGGTTTTACA